AAATTCCAATCAATTACTCGACCACAGCTTTTCCTTTTAAATTTGTCTCCAAAAGCTTCAAATTTATTTACAAACAATTCGATATACTCAATAGGAATCATATGAATTAATTCCATATGAATTTATTATTTTTTGAATAAAAATCCGAAATTCATTTAAATATTCGATAGTGGGATCCACGTCTCAAATCATAAAAAAACTTGCGAAATTCGAACACCCGTTCCGCTACGAGTTCAACCATACAAAAATTATCCAATTCCGATGTCAAATGGACCTTCAAATCTAAATTTTTCGTTTTTGGAAAGTTTTACAAAAATTCCAATTTCTTCCATCTAAATTCGAAATAAATGATGAATATAGACATGGATTCGTGAAATATAATCACTTTTGGTTATAGAACACTTACCCAGTTCGAAATCGTGAAAAACCTCTCAAAACTTCGCCTTAACCGAGCTCAAAATGACCAAAATGAGTAAAAATATCGGACTCTTTGATATATACACTGCCCAGACATTTTCGCACCTGCTGTGCCTGGGCTCGCACATGCAATCTCGTATCTGCGAAATGGGGCTGCCAGGCGAGGCCTCGCATCTGCGGAGGACAAATGCGCACCTGCGCTGCCTTCCGCTTCTGCGATTGTCAAGTCCGCTTCTGCGGACGCGCGGGTGCGTGCAAGTTTCCGTACCTGCGGACCTTTGCCCAACCTGCCCAGGCCGCTTTTGCGATGGAAGGCTCCCTTTTGCGAGCTCGCTCCTGCGGTCAAAAATCCGCAGGTGCGATTACAATAGAAGGAAAAATTTCAGATTTTGCTTAAGTCCAATTCTTGTTCCGATTTCGATTCGAGTCACACTCGGAGTACTTGGGAACCCCGCCCGAATATACCAACAAGTCCTGTAACATAATACAGACTTACTCGGGGTCGAAAATCACGTCAAACAACGCTGAAATTACAATTCACACCCCGATTCGAACTTTGAGTTTTAAACTTTTCCATTTGCAAATCTCGTGCCAAAACATATTAAATGAATTCGGAATGACTTCAAATTTGGCACACAAGTCCTAAATGACATAACGGAGCTATTCAAATTTCCAGAATCGGATTCCGGCTCCGATATCAAAAAGTCAACCCCGTGGTCAAACTTGAAATCTTTAGCCTTTAAATTATTAGTTTCCGTTAAATGGTCATAACTTGAGCTAGGGACCTCCAAATTATATTTCGGGTGTCCCAAATCATGATACGGACCTATCGAAACTGTCAAAACATTGATTCAGGTTCGTTTGCTCAAAATGTTGACCAAAGTCAACTCAATTGAGTTTTAAGGCTCTATTTCACATTTTAATCCATTTTTCATATAAAAAATTTTTGAAAAAATTTATGGACTGTGCACGCAAGTCGAGGAATGATAATTAGTACTTTTCGAGGTCTTAGAACACAGAAATACTTATTAAATTTAAAGATGACATTTTGGGTCATCACAAATTGTGTTTTTTATTTTAAGTTTGATTAATTGATATTTGTCTGATCTAATATTATATGTTTTCATTCATACGCCTAATCTGACAAGCTGCAAATACAAGAAAGTTTCATTATGATTATTTAATTTATGATGATGGTAATAAGTTTGTACCTTTTTTACGTTTGAATCATTGTTCAGAACTCCGTAGTATTTTAAGTTTGATTTCTTTCTTTTTATTGAGTATAGTTGAGAATTTTGGGAAAAGAATGTGTGAAAATACTCCTGAAGAAGTGTGATAACCCGATAGGTCATCTTTAAATTTAACATTCAATTCTATGCTCTGAGATCTCGAATAGTACCATTCAGTATTTCTCGACTTGCGTGCACAGTCCATATATTTTTTTGGAAAGCCTTTATGTGAAAAATTGATAAAAATGTGAAATAGTGCTTTAAAACTCACTTAAATTGATTTCGGTCAATATTTTGAGCAAACGGACACGGATTAATATTTTGACTGTCCCGATGGGTCCGTATCGTGATTTGGGATTTGGGCGTATGCCCGGAATCAAATTTGAAAGTCCATAGCTCGAATTTTCGTCAAAGAATTTTCGTCATTTGACGAAAACTAGAAATTTAAAGGTTTAAAGAATTCCTAAATTGGCCATAATTGGATTTTTGTTGATACTGGGTCCCGATTTGGATTCCGAGAGTTTGATCAGCTTCGTAACAATATTTATGACTTGTGTACAAAATTTAAAGTTATTCCGAGGTGCGTAGGCACACTTTCCGTTAGTTTTTGAAAAAGAAAATAAAAGGCTTGATTTTATAAAGCTTGAATTTATATGTTTCACCGAAAGTTGACTTTGATGATATCAAGTTTGGATTATGATTCCAGAAATTTTAGTAGCTTTGTTATGTCATTTGGACTTGTACGCCAAATTTGAGTTCATTCCGAATTGATTTGACGTGTTTCGGCGCGAGTTATAGAATTAAAAATTTCATAAACTCACAAGTTCGAATCGACGCGCGATTTGTAGTTTCGCCGTTGTTATGTGTGATTTGAGACCTCGAGTAGGTCCGTAATATGTTTTGAGACTTGTTGGTATGTTCGGACGGAGTCCCGAGGGGCTCGGGTGCATTTCGGAGTGGTTTCAGACCATTTCTAGCCATTTTTAATTACTGGTTTTTTTTGCTACTGCAGTGTGCATCGCAGAAATTTCTATTGCACATGGCTGATTTTGGAAGCTTATATCTCATAATCTATAAGAAATTTGGAGATGCTTCAAAAATAAAAGTTGTATCCCTTTGAGTCTAGTTTTCAGAAATGTAAACCATACATCATTTGGATATTTTTACAGAAAATTATGATCGACTAACTGAAGTCTGGTACTGCAGTTATTTTGCCTAGCAGTGTGCATCACAGAAATTTCTGTTGCACAGGGTTGACTTTGGAAGCTTATATCTCCCAATCTATAAGCAATGTGGAGATGAAGGATACGAAATTGATTACTATGAATCGTTATAGAGTTCTTTGTCCTATATTTGTTAGAATGGTAGCAAAAGCTTCTGAAACAGATGACGACTATAAGGTAGCAATAGCATGTGCAAATAAGCTAAGTTCAAAATTGAAGCAAATTACAGAGGCAACAACTCCATTTCTTTGTACTAGTGGTTCAACAAGGGATTTACCAGAAGAAAATAATAACATAAATATCCTCACACGAGCCAAAAAAAATTTAAAAAGAAAGATGGGAAACGCTATAAAAAAAGGATCAAAACTTCCCTCGAGGTGAACGCAAATCGCAAGAAAGCTCGAGGAAACAAGTCAAGTTCCGCTAACCAGGATGGACTGAGAGTCGATTAAAGAGCTCTATGTGATGATGAAAAATGTTTCAATCAAGTATGTCACATTTTATTTTTCAACTATTAGAGTATCTCATATATATCATTTCTTATAATATTTAAGCAATTACACTAATGTTTTTATTAATTGGTAGGATCCAATAAGGGAAATATTTTTTAGAATTCTGATTTAAGTGCCTCTTAGACTATGGCTTGTGCTAGCTTATCCCACAGTTCACAGTTTTCTCTTTCGTTGCCATACCCTAGCTTTACTCAAATGCTAACGGTAATATAACAATTTATTTTAATCTAAGTTAAGCTTATAATTTCGCTTTCAATTAACTTCATTATTTATATTTGTGCAGGAACTTTTTAGTTTTAATACTTTTGCACATGCACAAAGTCTTCTTCGCTTTTTCATGATCAGGTACCTATTAGATGAAGTTTTTATTTTTAATGTAAAAATTAGCTATTAATATTTCAAAATTGTTTACTTCTTGCAGGCAAACCTTTTCGAGAGTCAAGGATCTCAAAAGTTCCAAGATAACAATACATTATGATCTATGCCGGTTTTATTTTATGTTGACTTTTTTTTTGGATATTCGATATACTGAAGTATTGATTTTAGTAAACTTGATTGGAAGTAGAGGATTTTTATCTTATTTTCCTATAAACAGTTTCGTAAACATTCTTTAGCATCAGTACAAGTCATTATGACCTACACTCATTTGGAACTTTTGCAATCTTGCAAATATTTCATGAAGTTGGATTAGGTAAAAGTAAAAGTTGAATACTGCGCTTTATTTTGCTAAAAGTAAGAGACATATTTTGATGTATTAAAAGAAAAAGAAAAAGAAAAAAAGATAAGTAATAAACTTGGGTTAATTTTTAACGGTGGAGTTAGACAAACTTTTGCCATTTAAGTTCTTTTATTTGTATAAAGTTCAATGAATCTCAGCCATTAATCATTTTATGGTCCGCATGGCATGAATCTACCTGGATATTGAACATTACTTGAGGTAATAATACTTGACTGAATCTTTTTCCAATACAAATTCTTTGAAAGACTGAAGACACCATGTTTTGTATGAAGACTGAACATTAGATGAAATATAGCTCATCCACATTATACTAACTTTTCCACACAGAGATTTCAACTACTTAAAACGAGAGTGCATCCAAAGATTCGAGAAGAGTGCTCGGCCTTAGTTGGAACAATTATCGATGTCAATGGACCGATTTCACTAGCAGAGCATTACTCATTACGATCCACACATTCTTACTCGTGTCTTGTCATTGATACTCACAATATTTCCTTCTTTTTTTGGTTACATTCGCTTCCCCTTGAAGCTGAATCGAGTATGGTCCATATACAAGTTTTGGCGCTCACCTGGGGGTTTTCCTTGCTGATCTTTCAAAGTTAGATGACTTGTTTCAAACTAACACTTACAGCAAGTTCAGTCCAATACTGTCATTTAAAATGAGAGCAGAATCACTAAACAAGGAAATAGATAGAACCCCATTCTTCCTGATAAAATTTTTACATACCAAGTACCCCACAACCCCTCAGAATTTTACATGCTAGTAATAACTTACTGTCAAATTTTGTCATAAAAGAAACAGACGGGGGCACACAAATGTGTAAACTTAACTACACTTCATCCTTCAAAATCAAGCTCAATTGTCATGGACGTAGCCGCACAGTTGTATCGGTAGTTACATACATGGCATTGGCATGGGGATGCACTAGTAAGCCTCTGATGTTGCTCCCTAGCTCGTTTGCCCCGGAGCTTCTGCTGATGACCGGGGAATAAAAAGATGAAAATGTACAATGAGAATGCTATCCGGGTATAACCAGCAAGATTGGAGCATTCAAAGCCTTTATAGGATATTAGGATCCACGTTAAGACTTTGGAATACTTAGTCTAATAGTCTTCTTTAGTAAAGATGGTGTAAGTTGATTGAATCAATCAAATAAAAGTTAGTGAGCAAGTCTTCACCACAATGAGGGGCGTCTGTGAAAATCAAACACTAGAAGAAATACTAAGTAGACTGGAAATTCTTAACTTTGAGGCAGTTGAATATAAGTGGATACAACGGGTAAACAATACCTTTTTCAGTCAAGATAAACTTTGATGTCAATACCATTATCAATGAGGGACTGAACAACTGCTCTAATTTTTCCTTCAAACTTGTCTCTGTCTCTAGGAGTATAAGAAGCAGTGTATACATCAGCCTCTCTGGCCCTGTCAGCCAAAATCTGTCCTACAGACAAGCACGCAGGAATATCACTTCGTGATTTGAGCACTGCCTTTATGTCTTTGGAGTTTGTACCAGCTACTGCAACCTGTTTGCATGTAACTCTATGGGTGATAGAGGCTGAAACAAAGCGCTTCGATATGAAAACATCAAGGGTGAATGGTTCCATGTAAGCTACGGTCCGTTGCTTGAAAGAAACATGCTTGTTTGGGTTCTTGGACTTTTTTCCCTTCTGGTAAGTGTATGGCCGGCTATTGTCATCATCAAGGAAATCTTCTACACCAAAAAAGCTTCTAGGTGCTAAACAAGGCTGTCAAATGAAGCAACAAAATTATTCAGGGAGCTATGTTTCAAGAATATCTGGGTGTATCTTTCTAATAAGATATAAACGGTAAAGGGTCAAAAATACCCCCTCTACTATGCAAAAAAGGATCATTTATACCATCTGTTATACTATTGGTCCACCATTACCCCCGACATTATAAACATTATAAAAGTGGTGCAAAAATATCCCTCCTCTGGTAGAACCATCCACCATGGCAACTACCCTCCCACGTGGACTGGCATTTCTCTGAAGTGGATGCTACATGGCATCCCACCTCACAGTCCCAACCCCATTTTACCCCCTCCCCTCTCTTCTTGTTCTTCTACCACCATTCCTCCCTCCATCCAATCACCACCCAAAAACAAATGTATAGATGTGAAAGTAAGATCTTAGCTAATTTTTAGAGGTATTTAATTTTTCATGCCCAATTTTACTAATTTGTCCCAAAAATTCTTCTTGGTTTCTTGGTCAATTTAGTCTTTCGGATAAATAAAATCACAAGCTCACTTTCTCATTGTTGACCTATGGTAAAGTTCCTCAAGACTCAAAACTAAACTTCCACCTTAATAAGATAATAGTAGATGATGATTATGTTACTGATTAAGTTGGACACGAGTTTATGACTGATTGTCTCTATCACAGAAAATTTTGAAAGCATCTGTGAAGTTGAAGACAGTAGGGCCTCCAAAAATTTCCAACATTCTCCGGTGTTCGGACATGGTGTCCCTCATTTTGCTTTTTTGATATTTCTCCTAGCAAAAGTCCTTTTCTTTTACTTCTCCCGTTTTAAAAAAAATCCTGTTGCTCTGCCTATTTTCGATTTATTTCTAATAACTTACTGATAAGTATTAGTTTATATTATGGAAGAAAAGTTAAGCTGGATATCGTTGGTTGTTCAAGAATTAACCCCGTTTACTCTTGATGGCATTAGGAGAACATATTCACTTTTCTTTTTAGGCCTAAGGAGAACATATTAACTAAGTTTTCAGAATGTCTTGAAAATATATATTCTGCCAATTTCAAAAGAAATTTTTAAGGGAACATGAGTTGACAGATATTGAGTGGGAATGGACTGTGTTCAAGGTGTTTGTCAATGAAGGTGGTGAATGAAAAATAAAGGTGGTCTTAAGAATGGGACTGGGATGAGGTGCCACATGATATCCACTTCAACAAAATGTCAGGCCACTTAGGATATATTGCCATGGTGGAGGGTCCTAACGGAGGAGGGGTATTTTTACACCACTTTTATAACGTCGGGGGAAATGGTGGACAAATAGTATAACGGAGGGTATAAATGATCCTTTTTGCATAGTGGAGGGATATTTTTGACCTTTTACCGAGATATTAATCCTGATACAGATTAACATTGATTGTTGTATACACATATGTCAAGCGTAATACCTGTTAGTTTACAGCATGTATATAGTGTAGTATTGTCTCACATTGGTAGAAGAGTAGTATGCCCTTGTATAGTATAGCTATAAATAAGGACCTCTTGTATTGTATTGTTCATCCAATATCAATAACATATTTTCTCCCGTGCCTTCTCACAGAAACAAACTCCTGCTACTTTATTTTCCAGATGCTTGTGATTACTAGCTTATCTCTTACTTGGATGTTTNAGAAGAGTAGTATGCCCTTGTATAGTATAGCTATAAATAAGGACCTCTTGTATTGTATTGTTGATTCAATATCAATAACATATTTCTCTCGTGCCTTCTCATATGGTATCAGAGCAATTGTGAGAGACTTATCGCTGTGCATAATTTCCAGCGATTCCGGGAAAGAGAAATCGCTGTGCATAAATTCCAGCGATTCCGGGAAAGAGAAATCAGTATTTTTTAAGGCTGTTTTCTATCTGCTTCATTTCTGTCAGTGTTGTGCAAAATCCAACACTACCACAAGAGTCGTCACTGTCCGGCGACCAAATCCCAGTGAAAAACTCCGACAGCAGCCTCCTCACGCGCCTCCACGCGCCACTAGAAGCTCACGTGCGTGAGCTCACGCGCCGGCGCGTACGACCACTTCCGGCCATTTTTTGAAAATCTTCCTTCAGAACAGTTGGGTCGCCTGGTAATTCCGATCCTACCCCTACTGTTTTCATTTCATTCCGACAACTTTGAGTTTTTTCCGACAGCTACAGTACTATTCC